GTTACCTTCCTTTTCACGATCCTCACTTTTCACGATAACCCGATCTTGATTAAAAGCTACTTTCTGCACTTTTAAAAGGCACGTGTTCCCGTAGCATCGGCAATCGATCGTCGCATAACAAACTGCCGACTCTTATCTTACGCGATTGCAATTTAAGAAGACAAACAAGAGATATGGCTTTTTATTTAGTAGACGTCTGTTTTTCGAAACTTTAGAAAGACGGATAAAATTAATTGTCCTAGCCTAGTCAAGGAGATTCGAATTCACTTAGTGAGCGTTGCTCGAGAAGCAATTTATAATGCCGTCTGAAATGCCGATGCTACTTTCACTATCGACAGAATTAATAACAATTGGCCGACTCGCCGTGCATTATAACGATACGATAGAGCGAAATTTTTTCCCTATTTTTGCCTATTTTAAGGAAATATTATGCATCAAAACATCGATTAAATCATACTTATTTGTTTACTTAGCAATCTTTACTTAGTTCAATAAACGATTCAATAACATCCTTAACATACAATGAGAAAAAATATGTTACTAATATCATTAGAGAATTTTAGCTTTATAGAGACTAAAATTCTAATGTATAGAAAAACATGTTTGCATAATTAATGAACCAACACGTTTCTGTTAACTTTGCATGAAATTCAATTTTCCTTCACTGATTACATTTAACAAACTTGTTCGTGAATTTAACCACGTTTTTCAATAATTAATCTGTTTTTTTTTTCGTTTTTTTTTTTGTTATTCTTTTTGTTTTTGTTTTTGTTTTTGTTTTTGTTGTTGTTGTTGTTGTTGTTGTTGTTGTTATTACTTTTTCTTCATACCTTTGCCTTAATGCTCATAGAAATCTGTCTAATATGAGATGCGTATGGGAAATTATAGTAATTACAGTAGTTTAGTCGTATATATATATATATATATATATAAATACGAACAGATATTTATAGAATTTTCAATAGACTATATTTACACTTAAAGAGAAATTTTTATTTATACATGTATTTGTATGTATTAGCTTACATCTAATGAGACTGATAAATTGATTTTGTAAATAAATAATCCAGTCCGCTATATTATAAATAGGATGCATTAATTCATACGTACTCACAAGTAAATTACCCACAAACATCTAACACTTAAACAATAAATTAATTCCATAACATAATATGTGTGCTAAATTTATATATTTAAGTTTATCTCTTTGTTTATTTTCCCCATTGTTTTAAAACGCAAAGTTCCTTAGTACATTGTCCCCATCCTTACTATACTTTTTATTCATATTTTCATAACGCCAATGTAATTATCATACTCAAATAATAAAAATATTACAGCTTTAGCATTAATATTTATACCGTTCCTGTTTTAGACGATCTTTCCTATGATAAAAAAAAATAAAAAAAAAAAAAAAAATAAGTATTCCTGGAAAATTTCATGCCTCAAGCAACATTGTGATAATACAATTTGACCCCCGATACTCGTAATAAAAACCATAAAATCGAATCATTATAAATTATTGCTAATTATTCTTGTAGTATGATTACGCTGGTAAAACATAGTTCTATCATTATAGATTAATATTTGGACATAATAAATATTTTAACCAAAAATAATTGAAAGATTAGATGTATAAAAGAAACGACACTTGATATTGCACTCGTTACACCGATTATTTGACAAAAAAACTCCCCATTTTATTTAATTCGTTCCCAGTTTTTTATTTATCTCTTGTATGCACTTACGAGTACGCGCGCACTCGCGTGTATTTCAATATTCATAAGGATCAATATCCAGTTAATTAGACAATAATTAATCTATATTAAATCGGTATTCCAGGGTAATGTAATAATATTTGTAGCGCGAATTAATTTCATAGAGCAATACGCTCGGTTGTTATATCGAATAATTCAGAGCTTGAAACTCACTTGAGTCTCAATCCACTAATAACCCTTAAAAAATTCACTGCCATTTTATCTCACCCCTTATTAGACGATTTAACCACCGTCGCTTAATTACGGCTATTATTCGCAATCATAAAAATTGCTTCCCCAAATCAGGCGCATGTTTCTTTAAAACTTACAAACGTACCAACTATTTATCATTTTAATTAAATGAATTGTTATCAATTTACGCTCTATAAAAACAATGTGGGGGAGGATTGTGGAGGGGGGAGGGGGAGGGTCACGACGACCCGCAGCGCTATATAGGCTTAACCGATGAGAAAGTCTCGCGCAACCCCGTCTCAATTACGAAATGATGCCATTGTTGTCAGCCGCCGCACAGAACGCGCGCCTCTTAGTGCCCTTCCTGAATTTCACGCAATCTACTCCAGAGAAGTCATCCCCGTCCGCCCGGGGGTGGGGGCCGGGGCAAAAATAAACAAAGTGGCACACTCGTTGTTGGGAAGAGGCTCGCGGCTAGTCATGCTGCGACGTCTGTTTTGCATTGACGGAGTTCCTCGGCCCTTTTCCACGTTTCTTGCCGCCCATTCCAAACCTCCTCCTCACCCCCACCCCTCCCATACACACTCCCTTCCCTCCCCCCTCCCCACGTCCCGTACCGTAACGTCACGTCCCGTCCGTCACCGCTGCCACCGTGATACAAATGTAGGTCAAGTCTCTCCGCTCGACCGCGGGTGCAAATCAATATTTTCGTATTTTTCTTTCTCTTTTGTCTCGTCGAGAAGAGGTCTGCTTTTGGCTTTTGTGTATGGTGCGGTAGTGATGACCCGCGTGACTTTTGTTTTCAATGAAAGACGCGTCTTTGGATGCTTCGTTGTAGGAGCCGAGGGCATCATTCTTACCAATATGCGTAGAAATTTTTAATCGACTATTGGGTATTTTCAGTGCTCATAACTTCCAATATATGGATGTTTCATGTTGAAGGATTGCTTTTAATTATGAAATCATTAAAGGAAACTCTACTTCATAAAACTCCTTGGAGATAATATTGCGCATTAAAAGAATTACAAAGCTAATTAATCCTTCAATGACATGGCACGAGAGAGACAATAATTGTTACAGAATTACTTCTGCTATTCGATAAAGAAAAATAACTATATATTCATCGTAATTGTTCATATTCTTTATTGATAAAAGATATTGAATTTGAAAATGCTCTAAATTTCAGTATTTATCTATTATTATTTAATGAATAAGTCACTGTAATTCCAATGGATTTTAATATTGAATTAATCAGTGGAGCAGCGCATACATATGGGACGGCAGAAATATGACAAAGACAATGTCAGAGAGGAATTTTTAATTCGGCCCCACACCGTTCCCTAAAATAAACTATTTTCAACGTTTGTAACGTGCTTATCATCGCAAGCAATCGGTTCTCCAAAAGAAATTGATTTATCAGTTGAATATCGCTTGGACGCAGCAATTGAAATTTGTCATCGCCATAGATCATCAAATTGTACTTTATAAATTTCAGCCGTCGCATATGTTCGTACATGTCGCTCTACCACTCTGACACTATCTCTCTCTCTCTCTCTCTCTCTCTCTGTCTGTTTCCTTGTTTCTCTCTAAACTTGAACATTCCAGAGATATAATTTGAAAATATCGCTAATTTTGTGTCGTCATACGCCTACTCGAATTTTAGTTTCATACATAATTTCATCAGGGTTGTTCGGTTAAGTTCTCCTCTGCATTATGCAAAAAGTTGAGCGATCGCCGATATTCTGTGATATTGCCAGTCAAGAGACATTTTAAAATCTGGATGCTACTATTCGTCTATTCTCGCGAATACTAATAACGTAATACGTGTTGTGGAAAGTAAACATAAAAGTGGAATTTTTAAAATATGATGTATCAATGATTTGTCATTTTACCAATAAACTAATGCACAAGAAGTAGGAATTTTCATTGTAGTGCTTCTGGCAATGTAATTTCATGCGATTACTCAGTATTTTGAAATTTACCATATAGAAATATCTTTAGCGCATTAGATTTCGAATCCCTTACAACAACACAAGACTGTTTGATGTAACTATTCCAAATCATAAAACGAATATTATTATTAAACTCGATAATTATTTACTGGTACACGCACAAGCGCGCTCACGCACACGCATAGTTTCATACACCTTCTAAAGATCAATCGATACGAAATTTTATCAAAAAGAATACACTCGCAATGGCTAATCTTACAACATTCACAATATACTTTATATCCAATTTACAATTTCGATTCTTTTATAAGCCATTATAATGAGTTTATTTTTATTTTATAAATATTGCAAAGAGCTTTTGCAATAAGCTTCTAAATAATATTGAACAAGAGGTTACAATGTTTGCATGAAATATTTGAAAATTAATATTTAATGTACAATAATATTTACTGAAAATTAAAGAATATTAAAACTTTGTTATATTTTCATTGGACTTCATTGTCGGAGATATTTTATACACTGGCCCATCAATTATATCAAATTGCTTTAACAATTGTTATATTTTATGTGTGTGCGCGCGTGTGTGTCTGTTCGTGAACAATTATTTCGGTTAGATGTTGTACGTCCAAACAAGAATGCATTAACCGAATTAATGTACAACTTTGTAAATAAAAATCGATGCTTATTGTCTAAATTTAAAAGCACGGAATTTACGATAAAATATTATATCGTAATGAGTTACCACGCACTTATAATTTATCGCTTTCTACTTTCTACAATGACGACGCTTCGACGTTGACAATATTTTAAGACTAGAAACACCTAAACGTAGGATGCAGAGGAATGAATCGAATGTAATGTAAATATAGATCACAAGAGTCACAATATAAGAAGCTTATTACTAATAAATGCGATCAAATTATTAAATTAATAATATATATTAAGGCAATGCATTAATTAATAAGACAAAAGCCTTTGATTATTAATTTGGTAGTGTCGGGGAGGGTGGGGTGGATGGATGAGTGAGCGGGGTGGTGAGAGCGGAAGGAGATGAGAAAATTTCGTATTATAAAATTTCGAAAAGCTTCGATTTAAAGCTCACCGTCGGTATTGACAATCGACACGTACGTCCAGTTGAAGTAGCGCACAAGATCGACAAGTAGCTGCGCCTGATAATAATCCGACGGTACAACACGAAGAAAAGTCGAGTATCTGCTCTTGTCGCTTAAATCCCTAGAGGTACAAGAATATCCTACCTGAAATACACGAAAAATATTTCAATATTGAAGATAAGGGGGAAATTATGGCACTTTCGTTATCGCCCCCCCCTCCAATCGAGACGACATTTATCTACAAAGTTTCATTAGAGACACACGTTTTACTTTTTTTTTTTTTTTAATTTAAAACTTCGAGGGTTAAATGATCGAGGACTTTGAGCGATCGACGTTATTATAATTGCCTTTGCGTACAATAATTTCAAATAAAATGGATTCCCAATGGAGCTTTATTTAATTTACCTTTTCCCTATTCTTAATTATTCATTGGAGAGCATCAATTGGACGAACTGGCTTATGAATGTTGTTGTCCTCGTTCCTCGCTTTACGCATAAATTTTTTTGTCAAATGAGACGTTTTTTAAAATTTTTTATTTTGTATTCGCGCCAGCGAATATCGCGAGACTTTTAATAAAACTTTAATATTCGAGCTAACGCTATTTCGCTACCCTTTGCTTTTATCGTGAGATTGATTTAACAAGCAAATTCGTGTTTTATTATCATTGAAGCGTTTATGCACGGCTTTTACGACGGGCTGGCTAGACTCGAAAATTTTTAAATTTGTCTCTCGATTCCTCGAGACGACGTGTACCATAAATTCTTAGCATGTGACCGACCTACCTGTGGAATAGAAAACAGCTGTAGTAAGTTTTGCACTTGAAGGGCGACGGAGCTCGAGCCTGGTCCAACAACTCCAATCAGAGGTGCTTTCTTCTCTAGATCCTGATGAAAAGCAAATGAATTATTATAGGATTTGTCACTTATCGTTTCAACAAAGCTGCATAAGCAATCGCGTATTTAAATATTGCCGATAATGCACAGTCACTTATTGTCGTCGAGTTCCATTGTTTTGGCTGTTAACTTTCAAGCACAGATTGCTTACGACGCTAAGAAACTTATTTGGAATTTTTTCAGCAACATCGAGACCGAGTGCATCGTGGCATTTATTTTTTAAACTCAAAGTTTTAGAAGACGACGCGAAACTGCTTAAGCCCATCTGCATTACAAAGAATATTAAATGTAGAGTATATTATTTTGCTCTATCGCTCTTTAAGCTTTCATCGGAGACTTGATATATTACGAAGTTAATTTAATCCTCGCCGATAATATTTGCAAAATTGCACGTCTTTGTCGGGTCAGCTCTCAAAGGCCTATTGTTATCTCACGTGAGATAGGGAGTGGAGGGTACGTAATAGGGAGACAGAAGAAGCCGGCATTATTTGAGAAAACGATGAATGATAAACGAATATTAAAATCAGAGACTAGGGGCTTCTCATCTCACCATTAATGTAAATCGCGATTTTACGCTTAATTAGTTAATCGCTGCCCAATTGCATAACGAAGCTCGGAGATGAAACGAAGCGCGAGTACGGCCCCCGTAGCCAAGAAACTCACCAGCGGCGCGTCGATGAGACAAGAATCCAAAAGTCCCTCTTGTGGCAGAAGGGGCTTGGCGACCACCGGCGTTATGGCGTCGCGGACCAGCTCGATGCTCTGCTGCAGGGCCACAGGTGCGAACCAGCACGAGTCCCGAGCTTCGAGGCCGAGGGTCACTCCTGCCGGCAAATGACGGCCATTGCCTGTTATTTACGCATATAGCCCGACACGGGAGAAATATACGCTTGCCGCCCTGTTCATTTGTCACTGTTAGTCGGATTGCCTGAGTCATCGATCTTGACTATTACTAATACTACTACTACTACCACTACTAATACTGTTTCGTTATAGGAACTCGCGAGCCAACTTTCATCAACCTATTCTTTATTTACTTTTAATTACGAGAGCTCCCGGCAAAGCTTGAAGGTGGATGCGCGACTTGCGATTCCGTTTACTTTTTTCAACGCAGGCTTTTTCTTTTATAACGTATGCATTAATAGGAGGTGCGCGATTCATTTCGAATCAAGGCTACCACATTTCTTCCGCACGAGTTAATTTTGAATGTCAACAGTCACGAATTGACTATAATTGCTGAGAGCTTCGAGTGCCGTATAAATATTAATGAATAGCGGAAGGACTTTGGGAACCAGAGCGCTTAAAAAATAATGTCATAATCTCACGAATAAAAACACCAATACACTTATAAATAACGGCTCATTAAATTTTACGTTTTTAAATTGATATTTGACTTAATATAATGAGCATAGAGCTGCCGGATTAATTACTTAATTAATGAGTGATTGCTTCTTCTGGCATTCTTCTTGCGTCGACGTAACTCTGTAACTTACAAATTTCTCATTATTACATTTATCAACCTAAGCCCCGGTTCTTTCTATAATTGCTCGATATATCAACGTGATAACAATTAATAATAATATTTGCAATAAAAATAACAATAATAACAATAATTACAATAACAATGACAATAAAAATAACTTAAATAATAATAATAATAATTATTATGACGATGATGATAATCATAATGGTAATAATATAAAAATGAATGGTCAACTAAAACGAGAGGAGAATAAAATTATTATATTTTTATGAAAAATATTATTCAAACTATTATAGTATATTATTGTGCAAAATTAGTAGATCGAGCGTGATTGTCAAAGAGGCCTGTAGCTCTCAAAAAAAAAAAAATATATATTATATTTAATTTTGACTGTTTTCAATTGCCTCGAAATTAGCGAATAACATACTAACTCATACACACGTACTCGACTCGATCGATCGAGATAACATCAATCGAAAACATTAATTGGAGAAATTCAATGCTTGGATTGAAAAATATATTCATCTAATTTTAAGGGCAAAGTAAGCGCAACAGTACGTGAAAATGTCTCATATTTTATCAAATACGTATATGACATATACAGGTGCACGAGCTTACTTTTCTTTTACGTTAAAAATGCGCGATGTAGTGTATCACAGACGTCAAACATATTCTGATTAAAAAATTGCATAAACTGTCGACTGTGTGAATTCTGTAGGATAGATATTTTTATCTATTGCAATCGCCAATGATAGCAGAAGAGCAGCAAGTGGAACAAATATTTATAAACTCAAGAAAGCAATAAATTCAATTTAAAATTATAAATATAGTCTCTTGAATAAGCGCATCATGCTTTTCGCAAATTACTAGGCACCGATTTTATTTGAAAATGGTCCGCCTTAAATCTATTATTATCTCGCTAATATTAATAAATAACGACTAATGTAATAATATCGATTGTAGGCTATCGTTAAATTATTTACGTTATCACTTTATTATTAACTTCGTTAGAATTCAAACTTTAAAATAGACTTGCAAAAATTATTTGCCCAAGCAATACTTTATGACATTCCATGCCACGGATAATGCAACGCACAAATGCACCATCACCACTTTCCTTTAAGCTCGTTTCATTCTCATGGCACATTACAAAAAATCCATAATAATAAATCTGATCCTTAAGAAATCAAATACTCTAAGTATTATCTATAACTCTCGTTGAATTATTAATTAATAAGAATTGCCGATTTCATTAAATTTCTTAACGACGAAATTCGACTAACTTATAATTTTATTTGTACCCGAGTGTCCGAATGATAATTTAATTATCGCGTGCCATCAACGAATGACCAAACAATTTGAAAAATTATGTTATTCGAGGATTCTCATTCAACATCTCGATCCGGCTACAACACCTTTTAACGACGCTTTTAACGATTTAAAAAATCACTGCCTCGCAAAAAACGAGATTAATGAACGAAGAGCAACGTAGTGGAAGATGGAAAGAAATCGTTTATCAATAATTGCCATCGGTTGCAAAAATTAGCTGACAAAAACCAGTGGCAATTCGCACCTTTGGCTCTTCATTGGCGAACATTAGAAAACTAATTTAAGAGATAAATGAGAGGGGAGCGTGTGGAATCGCATGGAAGCGTATGCGGAGGAGGGTAAGGACGTCGGCTCGACTCATCGTCCATCGAGTATGGAAGATGGTGGAAAAGGCAGTCTGAGCTCACCTCGGAGCACCTCGGTGCTGTTGTTGATCTGGTCGAGGGTCCAGAGGGCCGTCTCGATCCTCTGTATACCGTAGAGCTCGCGTATGGCACCGCAGACGAGAGCGCCCTGGCTGCCTCGAGGCTGATGGTGAACGCTGAAGAGGGCCCCGATGACGAAGTCGCCGCGGACGCGCGCCGAGGGGTTCGCCTGCTGAGCCCGGGCGAGTCCCAAGGTCCAGGCCACGTAGCACGTCGCGCGTATCCAACTGCGGGCGGCCATGCTGCTGTTAACACCCGGGGCCTCATGCCGAGGACGGGCCTCGGTGGGGCAATGCCCCGTCGACGAGCCTCGACGGGGTCATCGGAAGCCGGATCTCCGGCCGCCACGGACGTCGCTCTTCATTTGCTGTAATCACACTGGCCAGGACGATTTTCATACAGGACGCTCCGGACTCTATGTATCTCAAGGCCAATGTACCGAACAGATAGCAAGAATGCTCGCGGCATTTTAATCTCCTCAACGCCCCCCCCCCAGCCGAGAGCTTGAGTACTTAATGCCAGCTACGAAATAATGAACTTGCCGCGCTGCTCTTAATTCACAATTTTATCTGCACAATTATAAGCCAAAGTTGCTGACATATACACTTCCCGAAGGGGTAAGACGATGTCAGATGAAAAAGGTCATTAGCACTGCGAGGCGCTGAGTTCGCGGAAGGAAGAAAAATTGATACATCCAACTTATTCTTTAATAGTTTACACATAAAAGTCGACTTTATGTGTAAGATGCTCGTAGAATGGCTAGGATGAAGGAATGAGGCTGGTAATGTAATTATCAGTTAAAGGTTGACTTCAAGACTCCTGCACTACGGACTAAACATTTAATTTAATGTATTATTTGTTAAAATTGAGAATACCTTTGAACATTACGATCGAGTAATGAAATTTACAAGCGGCTCATCGATCATTCTTATTAATCCTATGATTCAAGACGATCGACATTTTCATTATTATTCGCATTGAAAGTGAATTGGATTTATTTAATTGAATGTCACGAGATAAGGGATGCAGGCAAGTTCATATATTTTTATCTATTGAAATAAGTTGAAGTTATTGTAATAGTTGCCGTTTCGCTGTACATTTGTAAATAAAGCTCGCTCGATACTTATTATTCATGAATATTTGAAGAAAGCCTCGCACGGGTATAACTATTGTTTAATATTACTGGTACGTAAAATTATATTAAACATTCGCAGCTTAATTTTATAATATGGTTTAAAGTGCTCTGAAGGGGTGATTGAATAATCATGGAAGCTTAAAAAATACTTAATTGGCCGATGCATTTAAATATCAACACCGATATTTCGATACGGAATGATTGAATGATCAGAGGCGGGAAAATTTTTTATTAATTTTTTTAGTTTTTTTTTTTTTTTTTTTTGTGGTCTATATAAAGTAAATAAAGTGATTGACAAGGTCCATGATGTTTATGCATTGATAAATCAATAAAATAGGTAATAATATGTTAGATATACGTAAACGATAATAAATAATATCGAAAACTATTGTGACATTAGAACAATGATACGTTATACTATTGTGGTAAAAAATTAAATAACAATATGAAGTCAGAAAATCGGGCGAAAGCCGCCAGGGTAACTAGAAACAAGTGCCATTATCCATTTAGTGGCACGCGAACTCTCAGTCAGACTATTAAAAAACATAATGGCTCGAAGGGCAGATACCTCGCGTATTCAGCAAATAATGAAGAAAAAAGGGAATCATCGACGTCAACGACTTTCAAGATTTCCTCCACTGTCCCACTTTGGCTGAGCCACTAGTATAATCCCGTCGGCCCACAAAGCTCGTAAGGCTTAGCTAATTAGCCTCGCTTGCTAATTAATAATTAACATTACGATTCAGCGAAGTCGGCCGCCGAGGCACGGCGACAAGAGCTCGACGACATTCAATTTTTCCGAGTGGCAACCCTTGGGCGCACGTGCTCGCTTTCCTCTAGTCGCATGAAAGAGCCTCGCCATCACTGGACGAACCTACAAACGGAAAATGCTGATGCCAAAGATACTTGAACTTTCGGACCTCAAGGGAGACTGGACCTTGGCAATGAAATGGTGAAGAAAACTCAACTGGGAGTGTTAGAATTTTTCATGAATCATCATTATTTGGAGGAAAGTTTGGCACAATGTTTTCGACCAATAATTGACATTTTTTTTTTTTTTGACAATGAAAGTCACATATTGAGCATGTGCGTGCAAAATCTTGTATGACTCGATAATATTCTTATTGAATTGAGTGGGTATGATTCGTATTTCTTCGTTATAAAAGCTCCAATTTATCTTTGTTGTGTCCGGATTTTGTGGCTTCATTTCATTGCATAAAATTAAAAAATTTTATTATATAATGAAATAATAAAAATGATTTTAAATAAGACTGGAAAGTAGTAATAACAAATGGAACTTGAATTTTTCGTATTTTAATTGAGAACGAAACATTACAATATAACGTTAACAAACTGCTTACTCGGACTTTCGAAATTCCCTAGAATGATATTTTTCGAAAAATATTTGCTCACAAGATATAAAAGTCAAATACTTCTTAGACATCATTCAGGAAATATTAATATTAAATTAAAAATGATATTGTTTGCGAAGCATTTATTTAATTAAAATCGAAATCCTTGTGCATTTGTTCGCAACAATGCTTATAATTAAAATTTATTTCAAAAAAGTAAACTGTACTAATTGGAAGTTAAAAAATTAATTTAACTTGATAAAGATGTTATGTATAATTAGCATAAGAATTATAAATTTTCGAAACCAAAACAAATAGTTAATTTTCTCCTCATACACTTCCCATATATATGTCAATGTTTAAATTAATAATTCTTGGAGAAAGATAAAAAAATTTATAACAAAAGTTCCTATGGCAACAAGTAAAATTAGGAGAAAATATTCTTTTTATTTAAAAATTTACTTTCCTCAAATTAAAATTTATTCACCATGTACAAACTCATTAATCTTGACAATGAAATTCATAAGGAAATTTTTATTTTTCTTTTCTTTTTTATTCATAAGTAAATAAAGTTTTGGAATTTTAAAACAATTCAAATTTAGAAGCATTTTATAAGCACTTCAACTAGGTAAAGAATAAATATAATAACAATAAGATAAACTATAATAATACAATTGTTACGCATTGGTCAAAAGTTTTTCTGTTCATAATGTAACCTAATCATCGTAATAATTATTATCATATAAACGCAAAAAAGTAATCAAAAATTCCATTTTGAATCATTGTTCACTTTTAATCGATATCTTTTATAAAGTTATTTTTAATTAAAACTTTTAAATCCGTAATGTTTTAATTCTTTTTCCTTAATTAAGATATTAAATTAAGTATTTATCAAGAATATATGTTGTCTAGGATGATCGATAGAGTTTTAATTGAATAATATTTAACTTTTTGTCAAATTCTCTACATGATTAATAAGATAATGACCTATTAAACTTCATTCTTACTAGGATAATATTTAAAACAACAAAAAAAACAAAAATTGGTTTCATTAACAATGCTACATTATATACAAAATGAATTTTTTAAATTAAAAAATACTATTAAAATACTTTTAGCAATGAGATCGATGTAAATTTGAACTGCTGAAGAATAGTCGATTATGTAATTAATTAAAATTCAACATTTAAATTTAAGAAAATAATTGCATTTAAAATTTGTAAAATTTATTCATTTTCACAATGTGTTTATGGTTATATCGAGTAAGGTCATAAATTTTGTGTAACTTCAGTGGAAGCTTCGCATTACACCGACACTTCAACTATTTACGATTAAATCAATAAATGAAGAATGAAATTTTGATATTGCTTAAATACTTTTTTAAAATGATTCGATAAACTATTTAAAAAAAAAAAAAAAAAAAAAAAAAAACAACAACAACAACAACAACAACAAAATACAAATTAATTCAACTGCATCGCGTAATTTTATTCAATGTGCGAAAACGAAAATAATTTGAATTGTTTAAGGACGTTTTAATAATAAATGAATGAAATAAAAAATTAAAGTAAAAGCCTTTACTGTCAAAAATTTCGAGAAAGAAGTATATAAAATGAAAATCGAGTTGTTATTCCACGTTTCATGAAATACAATACTCTCATTTAAAACGAAAATGCCACTAACAATTTTTAGTATAAAACAATAAAGTTTATAATAATAAACTACTTTTATTCACATAATTTTGTAGCTTCTTTTATTTTTATAAAACATTTATAATTTAGAATGTTTTTTATTGCTTGAAATTAAAGTAAATAAATCTCTCTGTATATTCTGAAAAGAATCTCGTGTTTTATTTCAATCAAATGTATTCTTAGAAATACTATAAATATTTAATAAATAAATATATAATAATCCCACGATACGTATATATCTCCATAAAGATTATTGTAAAAATTTTAATTAATGCTAATATACAAACTGACATAAAAATCTTTAAAATAAGAATATGAAATTAAAGCTCATTTGTTTGTGTTTGCACGTGTGCGCGTGTGAGCGTGCGCTTGCGTAAGAGTGACATAGAGACACAGAAAAGGAGATATAAAATTGTAAAATAATTCATTTATTATTATATAAAATTATCGTTCTACAAGTTATAACTATTATATTTTATACATAATCTAGAGTACGATTAAAATAAAGCTTCTTGTTATTTATATTTGTAAATAAAAAATAAATAAACATTAATGTAATATCGATAAAATGGAGCTTTCCACGAGTAAAATCTTCTTTGTTTTTTTAATATCATCAGGTATTAATACTTTCGAATATGCATTTTACCAATTATATATGTATATATATATATATATATATATATATATTATCTCTTGTAAAGGGCAGTAATAGCAAATTAAATTGATAACTACAATTATGTAATTAAACTTCTGCGCGTGCATCAATCAGATCATAAGACCCGCACAATTCAGTATAATACTGCTGGTAGTTACAAATATTTATTTATTGATAATAATATTGCATTTTATTCGGCATACATGTATATTAAATTTAATCATTTGTTAATCATTTTCGACTCAGCCATCATTTTGGATGATATTTTTCATGTCGCGGAAATATTTCAATCTGAAATAGCGAATGGAATTTAGACAGTCATTTCTTCGAATTTCGATAAAATGTACGTCATAGTGCACGAGTTTCTACTATTTCAAAATTCAAGGCAACACCGTCATAAGAAAGCAG